TGTCATTAATTTATTTTTCGTATATATCGCGTGAACTAATCACATATTAGTTTGCAGGTTTACGGTATTTGCTCTGATTTGATTTTAAATTATTTTTTGGTTGGTTAAGAAAGCATCAAATAATTTTAGCTGCAGTAATATGCTAATAATTCTTGCAAGAAGTTAGTGTGAGTGAAAAATGAGAAAAAAGAAGAAGAAGTTGCAAATTTTACAAATATATTTTAGGGTGTTTGTACAAAAGAAAAAAAAAAAAAAGAAAGTTTTAATGGTTACTTAGTGCTTACCTGAAAGAATGTTGCTTAAAAAATTTTTATTACTAAAAGATATGTTACAAAAATACATAAAATTTTTTCATATTTATTTTCTACTTCTATAGGATAATCTAATTGGTAGTCCAGATGAACGGGATCCAAGTATCAAGTTGCAAATGAGGCCACAACGAATACAGTTGGCTATAAAACCAAGTTTGTTAATCTGTCTACTTTTTTTTCTTTTTGCTTTCTAATTTCTAGTTTTCTACTAGCTTTAACTAACTTTGTCTAAAAAATTTTTTTTTGCTAATCTAGGTCATATGTTGACTTTTGAGACTTGCTGTTGACGTTTAATTTCTCTAAGTCTATTCTCCAAAACCAAGACGGTTCTATTTGATTGATTTTGATGTAACTATAAATAGATAGGTTGACAAAAGTGTTTTGTTACAAAAAAAAAATAAAAGATTAGTGCCAATTATGGTGGAATATTAAAGTGAAATTTCTGACTTCAAAAGAAGTCTTTGTTAACGGTTAAGTGCTTATTGAAATCTCTACTATTATTATTATTATTATTATTATTATTATTATTATTTATTATTTATATTATTGTTATTATTATTATTATTATTATTATTATTATTATTATTGTTATTGTTATTAGTATTGTTATTATTATTATTATTATTATTATTATTATTATTATATTATTATTATTATTATTATTATTATTATTATTATTTTTCCTATTTTGTTGCAAACCTGTTTTTTTTCTTGTTTTTATTTCTCTCTTACTTGCAGCCAAAAATATGTTACATTTTCAACAGCAAACTTAAATAATGCAACTTAAATAATAACTAGCTATATGTCTACAGGAAAAAACCGAACCAACTAATGTCGTTAGAACTCTTTCAAAAAAAAAAAAAAAAAAAAAAAAAAAAAA